AAGTATTCAGCCTAATATTTTTTGTGGTGATAAAAACAGACCTAACAGCCTTTAAAATGACTTAAAATGCATTATATAAAAACAATGAGGCAATAATGATTGGTTAATTAATAATAATCATATGGTTTCAGAGGACCTCAGATGATGCCAACCCTGAAACAACATACAGAACTACCAGATTTTTCTGTACATTTCTGCCATATGTACATTAACTGAGAGTCACCACTGATAAGCCACCACTAAATATTGTAGAAACTTAATTTGCTGTAAAGTTGCTTTGCAACGATTTGTATCGTGAAAAGCGCTATATAAATAAACTTGAATTGAAAATGTTTTTATTGAATTTGTTTCATTGAATAACACTGTTACATAATGTAATACAAAATAAATAAACAATTTACAAATGCCTGCAAAGGGTGCCAAAGGCCTGGTAATCGCTGTTGTTACACTTACAGGACGATCATATGCTTGTTTAATATCGACCAAACATTTCATTCAAATATCCACATAATCTTTCATTTTTGGCCACCTTTTTTGCGATAGAATTGCTACAGCCTCTATAATTTCTTCAACAAAAACATATGGACATCACAACCCTTACAAAAATTAACATGTTTTTTTATTATCTAATAGCTGTTTATTTAGAAGTGCACACAGTAATTCTTCAGTGACTAATGTCTTCTGCTTCATTTAATGCAGGGTCAATACTGAAATTTGTTACTATTTAATATGTGTAATTTTAGTTTGATTTTTTATTTTTTTGCTACAGAACTACAATTGTACTTTGTAAATAATAGTTTAATTTCAATGTATTTACTTTTATATTTTATTAAAGTTCTATTTTGACCCCTATAGCAGGTTTTTTTTTGTTTTTTTATATATATATAATTTTTGTTACTTCCATAATATTTGGGGAAGGGGCACAACAATACAATTCTGCTTAGGGCACCCATTTGGCCAGCAGCGGCCCGGGTCCTATCCTAACAAACCATACATCAATGGAAAGCTTATTTATTCAGCTTTCAGGTGATGTATAAATCTCAAAAAGTCAAAAAATTGACACTTATGACTGGTTTTGTGGTCCAGGGTCACATATAAGTGATTAAACGGTGACAGAATTACAATTTTGGGCGAACTATCACTTTAAAGGAACATTCCACTATTTTTGAAAATAGGCTCATTTTCCAACTCCCCTAGAGTTAAACAGTTGAATTTTACCGTTTTCTAATCCATTCAGCCGATCTCCGGGTCTGGTGGTAGCACTTTTAGCTGTAGCTTAGCATAGATCGTTGAATCTGATTAGACCGTTAGCATCTCGCTCAAAAATGACCAAAGAGTTTCTATATTTTTCCTATTTAAAACTTGACTCTTCTGTAGTTACATCGTGTACTAAGACCGACGGAAAATGAAAAAGAAGGCGCAATGATATTATGCAGCGCCTGAAAATAGTCCCCAGCTAGGTAACTTCCAATAAGCCTATTTTCAGGTGCTGCGTAATATCATTGCGCCTGCTGCACTCATGGTACGGCAGCAAAGGTCCTTGATTATTACGCCGGAATGAGAGTATAGTTCCTAGCCATATCGGCCTATGGAATGGATTCGAAAACAGTAAAACTCAACTGTTTAACTCTAGGGGAGTTGCAAAATGACCCTATTTTCAAAAATAGTGGAGTGTTCCTTTAAAGGGGTCATATGATGCGATTTAAATTGTTCCTTTCTCTTTGGTGTTACAAGCACTTGGTGCATAAAGAAGATCTGTAAAGTTGCAAAGACTAAAGTCTCAAATCCAAAGAGATATTCTTTATAAAAGTTAAGAGTCAGCCACG